CGCCGTCGAACGACACCATTATCAAGCGCTCTAAGTCCGCGACCGAAGCCGTTTGATGTTATCAACTCCAACCGTTTGTACACACCCTATATCCCTCTGTTCTCCTTTTTTTTTGTTTATCCCATCGCTTAAGGACAACTTTTATGTCGGCCGCACTGTGATGCGCATTGTGAATCAATTCCAGATACAATCCAATTTTCATTTCTTTCATTTCTATCACATTCAATCTCCGAGGTTTTAATTATTTTTCCAATCTTCGTATTCCCAATACTTTCCTATCCTTTCCTAATAGCAAGTAGAATTGAAGTATGTTAAAGATTTTTGGTGGTAGAGGAGAGATGGTGCTTTGTCCTGCTGCTTGCGATCTTGGACCATTTTGCGTGGAGACGGCAGTGAGTTACATTCCGAAATAATTTATGAGAAATAAAATGGCCTGAAGTGCGTGTGAGTGCGTTATAGAGGCAGATAAGCGTTTAATTCGAAAACTGCCGGATGGACGTTTATGCGAGGGGCTATACGAGCGACGACGGGGGAGTAGTTTTGTGTCGCTAAGTACAATCCCTTTTTGTGACCGGATTTATTACGAAAATGATGGCCCGTAAATTTTAGGACCGTTGAGTTCTTTGGAGAAAAATTTCATTGCTCTTGTTTAAATATTTCCAACTACAGGGCTGCCTGATGGAGTGCGAACAAAACAGCGATAGAAGGTATAAGTAAATAGAAGTTGAATGGTGAAATGAAATATGGTTTTCTGGGAACTATTTTTAACCATTTAGGTATTAGAGTACCTCATCCACTCCCTTTTCGGACTAATACGCTTCGGATTCAATTTTATAGCGATTTTTACGGCTTTCGAAATGAAAGCCATGCATTTTCTTTATTTAGTTCCCGCGTAGTAATTTCTTTATCTGTTCCAGACGCAGATGCTGGAACTAAATCATCTTCTCCGGGGTATATTAAAAAGAATTCGGAAATTGAACAGTCTACCAGCGATTTGGAATCGCGGAAGTAGCAGGACATCGCCTGCTGATATATAGCAAACGCCTTCATTTTTTCCCGTTTCCCGTTTCCAATCCACGATTAAAATGCGAATATTAAATCAAGAAGATATTATTACGAGGTACTATTCAACACAAATCGCTCGATATAGGCGCCTGTGTAAATAAATGTAGGAATTTCTTACCGAGTCGAGTTCACACAAACACTCGAGACCGCCATAAATGAAATATCAGTAGAGAAGAATCCGGAATTTCGAGAAATATAAATAAACTATGGCGGAAACGCCGCGACCAAACCAAAGCCAAAGTAATAGTGACGGGCTTGTGTAAAATAAACTCGATATTAGGTATATAAACCTCGAAATGTCAGTATAAGAGCAACGTACAACGGCTAACAATATAAATCTTTACACTTGCACGTCTTATAAAAATAACCCAGATGATCTAGCTATCGTTATAAAATAGTAAAACGCGGAAAAGATATATGGCAATCGTCATTGCTGCTAACGTTCGACGTTAAAACGTAAATTTATCGAATTTTCTTGTAATGTACTGTGGAAAAGGTTAACGTTCTATGGATTAATTTTACGAATTAATCTTTGGGAGTATTGGGTATTTAGAAAATTGGTTTAATTACCTATATATAATTAAAAAAAAATCTGAAATTAGGCAACTCAATACACTTTGACGTCATTTACCTATCGTTTAAATTTACAAACAACATATGGAAGAGCAATAATCAATATATTTTCTATTATTATCTTTTCTTATTTCAAATGATACCTTTCCGAAATACTTTCTGTATACAAATTACCTAATTATGTTTTGTTTCTTCAGAAAATTTGTGATATAAGACCGACGTTCGTTCCATTATGACTACATTATACACCTATACATACCGATTTAAGACGCGAGTGAAAGCAAAACCGTGTATTCTTAATAGAAACACTAACCCTAACTTTACTTCGAAATCTCAGGGCCGCATAAGTGATTCAGCACGAATATTGTAATATGATTTGTGATATCGATTTCGATATATAATCAATATTATTTCACTTATTAACACAATCAATGCATTAATTCTAACAGTAATTAGGAATCACATAAGATGTGATTTTCATCAATAAACTTGGATTAGCACTGCTATTTTTAATATTTTTATGTAGAATTATGGAGTGTAGGAAGCGGGATATTTTTGAATACAACCCTGTTTCATTTTTGTAAGAGCTTTTCCGATTTAAATGTAAAATCCAAATGAAAATCATTTAAGATCACGCGCGAAAAGAGCAGATTCGAGAAAGTCACGGTCGCGTCGAAAGCATATGTTAATAAAATAATTCGAAGGTGAATTTGGAAAAAGGCAGAAAAAACACCTGTTGGTACAAAATTCTTTAATATACATACGAAATTTGAATGGAGAAATTAGGAAGCAAATTTGGAAATTTGCACATAATGACGGTCAATCAAACAGAAACAATACCAAAACTGCAACATTTCCCAAACTTTTTGAAGTAGGATGAATGGAGTTTCAAGTTTGTTTCAGTTTTGTTTGTGTTTTCCAAATTCCAGAAAACTAAAGCAAAACACAAACTCTACTGTCATAAGATAGGTGTTATATCTAAAGAATCATGTTTTTCTTGTTTTATTTTATGGCATTTCAAAATACCTTTTTCATGAAAATCATGGACCAACTGGCATTACGCAAGGCGGAGATTGGATGGCATAAAAAGGGCCGAGAATGCGGACGAGAAAAGCGGTTTTTCTGTTGACGTACGCGCGGATATACACACGTACTATATGTCAATATTTTGATTTAATCTTGAAAGTTCCGCAGGATTTAAGAATGCTTGAGATGCTTGTCAACTTTTTAAGTTGAAACGGTTCAACAGTCAATCATAATGTTAAGTATAAAATTAATAAGATTGTGTATTAACAAGTATGATAAGGAGGCCTTGTAAGCTCCAGTTTGTAGTTTATAATAAAGAAGAAATTAGAAAACTCCTTATCTACTAATTATTATATTGTTCAGCAGCGCTTAAAAGGAGCAAATTAGGATTCCATTCATTGGTATTCAGCACCTTTTGGGTAACAGGTAATAGAATATCTGCAGAAATCGTTTTTGAGCGCGGTAAATACCTTAATTTCCCTCTATCTTTTTCGGGTTTTTTTCCAGAAAAACGCTCAGCCGAATTTCAGTCACGTTCCGCGCAGTTTCTCTATTTGCCTATTTTCCCATTACGACCTGGCCGGGGTTCTTGCTAAGAGAAAATTTAGCGGCGAAACAAGAGGAAGTTCTCGTAATTAACTCTCAACTTTAAATCGAGGCTTAACAATCCTCCATTAAAGTCAACGGTATAGTTATTTCTTACAGTTTTACGAGGCGCTCTCCTCCGCTCGATCACACTTATTCTTAAGCCGGAATGAATTACATACGTGTTATAGACCGGTAAATGATCCTTATTTGTAATTGAATAAACCTCTTCGTGCACTACTATAGTTTTGTAATTGCAATTACACCGGAGAACGTGATTAGATTCGCTCATTTCATATTTCTCCTGGTTGATGTGTAAACTGCTGCTGGTGTTTTGTTGCGCAGAGTATAATGAAAAACAAATTTCCTTGTATGTGGAATATACGGGAAAGTTTATTTACACGTGTCGAGGGCGAACCTACAATAACCCGCGCTGGGACCGAGGGCGTCATTCAATGATTTACAACTTCGTCTGGAAAAAGGACAAAGTTTTCTATCTCCGAACCGGTGGCCCATATAAACTTTTCCGTTTCGTTTGGTCCTTATCGTTAGAAAGCAGGAGCTGTCAATTTATCCAGAAACGGACGTTTACGTTTTGATCGGTGGCGGTGACACAAAGAAAACACCGTCGATAAAAAGGGAATGTTATATATTTTTCGAAAAGAATGATATTCATACGAATTTCCACGCAGAAAATTGATTTTCACGTTTTTTTTGAACGTACATTTCTTATTTAATAGAATCCAAAAATTTTAAATTTAAAATATCTACTCCTGTAGGTACACAATTCTTAAAAATAACAACCAATTACCTGCAAACCTAGTATGTATAATATACTCAAAGCATATGTGATACAAATATGTACACATTTCATCTAGACTAACTAACCTTTGGCATTAATTTCGAGCTTCAAAGCGACTGAATTTCGACGTTAGTTAGATTAAAACCTGCGTCGGACGTCGCCGTGCCTTCGGATTCTCCAGAAAACCCGCTGAAACTTCTCCGTGACAGGTATTATTTCGAAAATAACACGCGTGGAAATTATCCCGACGGCCATTGAGGCGGCAGTTTAAATTTACATTACAAATTTGCGTAACCCCGACAACACCTGTTTACAATTTCACAACTCGCCACTTTATAATTTATAATATCGTGGGGAGCTTAAATTTCCTGAATGAATTTAAATATGTTAATCGGTGTTTATATAATTGAATTCGATACAAAACTAAAGAAGCGTTGAAGCTTATACGTGATGTGAAACTAGTAAAAAAAGTATCTAATTAAAATTTATTAGGTATCTTTAGTTAATTAATAGACTATGCGATTTTTTACATTGCACAAACGCTATCCAATTGCATAGGTCTTTCATTATCAACGAAATAGGTAGTAAAATAATAACATGGCGGTTCGCATGGGGCCTCATCAATCCTGAAAGCGTAAACCACATCGGTAATATCCGTTCATTAATCAGTCGAAGGCGCCCAGGTGGTCGGGCCTTTATTAATCAAGGGGTAGACGCACTTCTTCTTCTTCTTCTTCCGAATTTAAATGCAAAATAAGACCTTTCCTTTTTTAAGAATGAATAAATTTCCCGAACGAGCTGATTTCGAAGCGAACGAATTATTTTATGACGATGATAAAGTTTCAAAACGCGCTGATTCGAATAAAACATTTTTTTCTACAATTGACACTTTGCCTAGCAAACCCTTCTACTTTCTCTAAATATAAAAGGATAAGGTTAGAGGTAAAGGAAAAGAAGAATTTTGACTGTTACTCAAAATTAATGTACCATTTTAAACGTTATAGGTTTGTTCAAAATTGTCCGTAAAATGGAACCATCTAAATCTAAACATAATTTGTTGGATATATTAAATAATAAGACAGATAATCGGTTAACAACAACAAGATGCCACAAACTTTCAGACTACAAAGCTAGTGAGTAAATAATTTAATTAATCTCTCCGGGCCAGATGGATTTTTTATTCGGAATTCGCGTATGAAATTTTTGTTTATTTCGATTCTCGTCCATCCAATTGAACTGGACGCGCAACAAAGCTCAAAAACATTTACATTCGTGCTAGAATCGGATGAAGAGCTACTTTACAAACGACAAAAACCCAACATAATCGCTAATAAATTGCTATGTAAAAACAAGGCTCGCTTTTCCAAAAAAAGTATACATAAATAACAAAGGAGATATTGGAAAAATTGGAAAAATATAAGCACGCTGGCGGAACGGATTCGAACAAGGTACTCAACGACAAATACAGATCGGCGATAAAAATTTTAATAGCACAAAAGTGGTCGTTAGTCGGGTGTTTCGCCCGACCTCTAAACCCCGTTCAGTGGACAAATAAATAAAGGGGAATTATTTTTATGGAGCAAGTGTAGAAGACGTCTTTCGAACCCATCGATATGTATTCATTTTGAAGCATTTTCGATATTGTCAAGATTTTCATCTATTATTTATATTGTATTTTTCAGCAACGGACACGATCAGGCCGAAGATTATTCGTGTGTATACTCTACCGGAGTTGATGAAAATTCATCCGCTTGGTCTCGCTACGGACGCGAAGAGTAAGAAAGGATTGGCGTTCCCTCTGGTTCGTTTCGGTACTAAAATAGCATTAGTCGCTGCTGCTGTATATTTTCTGCGCGATATTGGAGTCTGGGGCACTTCCGAAGATACCGAACAGCTCCTCGTGAAGATTCGCAATCTAATCAATAACTCATCGAACGAGGAAGATATTTGGATGCCGCCTACCTGTGCAGCACAAAAACAGATATTTCCAGTAAATGCACCTTTTGAATTTTTGAATATAATAACCAAGGATTTCTATTTTTTGCAGTACAATCGAGCAGAAACCTATGGCGAATGCAGCGATCCAGTTTTCTGTTCAGAGAAATTCGTAAATAATGTTCAACTTAAATGGAACGGAATGGTGGAACGATTTTTCACCACTTTAATAAGTGTTCCTCAAAAAGTAAACAATTACGTGGAGAAAATTGCATTGGAAGGGGTTGCGTATTTGAATTCAACGACATCTATCAGCAGGAATTTAGACGATGGAACCATCATCGAATCTCATCATATCGAATCTCACAACCAAGAAGAAAAAAAGGATGTTTAATCACTATTTTTTAATGTAGATGAAATATATTTTGACAATAACTAATTTGACAATAAAATATACAATCGAACGTTTTATTTCGTTTGATATCTGCAGAACGAACCACTCGGAAAATCGACGAGCGAAACATATTTAAAGGAAAACTCGTTATCTACTTTATGTATTTCCGGAGAACTTCGTCATTTTTTTCTAATCGAAAAAATCATCAATTCAAATTTATTTCGAACTTCCAGGTCCGCCGTTCGGGGAATTTTTATGTAAATCAAACATCAAAGCCCGAAGAGAACATTTAACTTTTTGGCGTAAGAAACCGGTCTGTTCACCAGAATATTAATGTCCCCAATAATACAATGTAAATACAATATTTTCTAGTAATAGTTCTAGTATATTGGTTAATGAATAGGGATATAAAAATAAATTAAGATGTAGGGCGCTTATATTATACAAAAGAAATGACAATAATAGCGATCGTAGTTTTATTTTGTAGACGATATGTCGATAAAACCATATGAAAAGCATCATAATACGAAGTCAGCAGTATCGAGAGTCCTTTAGGAGAGCCGGGGCGCTTCCCCCGGGAAAGATTCGAGTTGTACGTCGAGTCTTCGCCTTCCCTCTGCCCAAAGGACGAGCGAACGAATCCCAATAATCTGCTGAGGTTTCTCAATCGGATTTAAAGACCCGCCTTATTGCGTCTCCTATACCGTCTATATACGGATGATTGTATTCGGCGATATCGCCCATCAAATATGTACAGTTGCTCGGTTTTCCCTCACTTTCAATTAGGGAGCACGGGCCGTTTGGACTCGGCTATTTCGGTATACACGAAAGGAATTATATTTATAAATTGGATCGAATTTGCCGTTGGGTTTAGTTACGGGAGTAATTAAAGCGTCTCTCCTTTTAAGTATTAATTACTGGAATAAATAATTGTGAAACTTTTCAGTTCCTTAGGGTTATTTACACGTGAAAATAATAGCGTTACACTCACGAGTTTAAAATGATAGCTGTTATTTACGAGGGGTTAATTAATATGAGACAATATCATAAGAATATTATTAGTTATTTAATGAACAAGTCGATGTTTAATAAGCGTGAAAATTAATACTCATGTATTCGTTAGTAAAAATGGAATTTACACCTACATATCACGCGAAAACGTACAAAAAAATATAATGGATGAATCGCTGAACGCAATAATAGGTAAGTAGTTCCGGTTACGAGCGTCGCGACGTCGGCGTCCTCACTTTTGGGCCTAATAAAAGGTCGGGATGTTTCCGTTGCGCCACGCACTCGCGCTTTTTTCCGCGCGTTCCGCTCCATTTTTCGTAACTTCCCGCGTTATTCTCTTGATTGATGCGAAACATCGCCCCTCGTTTTCGGTCGAGGGCGCCCGAAAACTGAGTTAAATCAGAGACGGGGTGATTCGTTGGCGAATTGCGATGCATATAGCTCCTCAATTTGACCCATCGCGAGGTGAAATAAGGGAAAGATGAAGGAAGAATAGCTCTTTGTACTTTTGTATCATGTTCACCACATGACATCAAAATTAGCAGAGATTGTAGAACGGTGGAAAAGAGTAATGATAATGAAATTGTTGAAATTTTCAACAGCTTGTACTTGAGCTACTTAAAACTTTTTACCGACTCATTTTGAACGAGTATAAATAAAATTGGAATACTTTTTGCGATTGATATAACAAGTCAAATTGAGAATTTTGTCTCTACAAGTGTCTTTATAAACTTCTTCATAAACTTCTTTACAAAGTTTATAACTCTGAAAAGTTCTGTAGCTGCATTGTATTGCAGAAAATAGTGATAACAAATATGGATGAACACGGAAGTAGATTTGAAGAACTGTTAACTGAAGAATTGTTAACTAATGAAAGAAGTGTTAAATATATTCGCAGCTAGGTATGCCATACATTTAGAGCTAGAAAAAATGCAAAAGTGAACGACACTGTGCCGCTCCTATTCTTATCTATACTTCGCTTTCTTGAGCGTAAATTGAGCTTCAGGTGTTCGTCGGAAGGCGCCTCTGGCATGAGCATTCTGAACGTTTGAAAGTCCTTATCCGTGGAAGATTGGATTAGATTTGTTTAGTCGAAATTGTTGTTTTAATTTGTTTGCCGCCGCCGACAAGAGCGCGTTTTTCGGTATAGCATCGCATGGAAATTGGACATTTTCGAAGTGAATTCTTGCAATTGCGCATCAATATGTAGATGGAACGTCAGGTAGTTATGCAGGTATAATTGGATTGTTGTTAGATGAAGATATTTTGATTTATGTTAATGATATTTGAAGGTAAATCCTCTTGCGTTGTAGATATTATTTATTTACGGAATGGAAAACATTTCTCGCTGTACTTATTTCATTACGTTTGCTCTTACTTTAGTCAATTTATTTTTCCTACCGCTCTCTTTATATCTACAGGAGGTATATTAATAAAGCAAAAAATTCTCAGACGTCTTTTTGTCCGGAATTTCTGCCATTCCGCCGATGTAACTCGCATCCTTAATAATGAAAAATTCCCGTACGCTTTCGCCTTGTTTTTTGTTTCGGCGTGCGAGTGTAAAAATCCACGGACAATTCTTCCGAGACAGTTCGAGTTATAATATAAAACTTATTTAGTGTTGGTAAGAGAAAGGAGCTGCCCTTGTCAGAAATATGGCTCGAAAGAGCCCCTTCTTTATTGCGTCGTGTATCTCGTACGTGAGAAGGAGACGAAGCCGAGGAGGAACGAATGTAGTAAGTTCGAAGATAACGTTAATATTTCGCCCGGATAAGATCTCGAACTATGAGTTATACACGTTGTATTGACCGGTTACTGTAGTTGACATTGTATATAAGTTATTTTTACAATAAATATAACGTTGATTTTGCGAACAAGCGCTTTTTAAGAAGACAAAAAGATGGAATTTTTAGAGTTACGTTCGAGAATACCACTCCACTGATAACGCTCGTAAATGCACACGATCCAACGTTTTTATACAGCTCTAAAAAAATGTATAAATCCATGTTTTTGCCGGGCCACATTTCACAACATTAGCTAATCTTCTACATAACATTAAACGGGGAAAAACAGAGGTTGAACCGCAAACAGAACCGCAAACATGGAGCTCATTTATAACTGTCAAGACAAAATGCAACGTGCGTCCGATAGGCGGAGTGGACGTATCTGTTGCAGTTCACGAAGCAATATCCTGATCATGACGAGATAATCTTCAACGAGGGTTGAATTGAATACGGTAAATTGGTGTAGTGGACATGAGTGGACACCGTAGACAACGTTCGTTTCCGGGATAATCATCAGGTGCAATATACCGAGAGCGAAGCGATAAATGTGCTACACGAAAGAACCCTTTTGCGTTTGATGAATGCAGATATTAATAAACTTGGTGCATACAGAAAGGATGATGTCGCATGACTAACAGAACCGATTGAATATTGCCCGTAAACTAATTATACCTGATAGGTTCAAAGCATTGAGTTCGACTTCTAGTTATTAAATTTTGTCCGCGACAGTTCAACATTTTAACAAAACTTTACTAGCGTCCTTTGATAAAGCTCTCTTAATAAGTAAATAGTTTGTTAAATTAAATACTGAAATATTATTACTATAGGAATTTGAAACACTCTTAACCTTATATTCAATCTATATAAAGCATCCTGACTAGAAGTAACTGCTATAAGATATCCGGAAGGAACTAATCGCGGTCTCTAGAGTGGGAATTGAAAATCATTTCGATCTCGATTAGAGCGGAGGTTTCGAGATTTCTCTCCCGTTCGATTCTAATTCATCACTTAAATAATACATGTACGTCGGGGGTTAGTCTGGTGGGTTAAAGGAGAACGACTCTAATTCGAAACTGCATTGCGACCGTTATGTGTGCAGCGGACAGACAGGATAACAGGACAATGTACGCGAACGACCAGGACATAAATCTGGAACAATACGACCGGAAGGAGGACTGCGCGCCAGGAAGCCCGCCATGAATATATCCTTAGTCGTGAACAACGAATCTCCAGCCATCGTCAACGCTATATTTGTCAAAGTTCTTGTTGTTGTTTCTCGCCCTTGCCCTGTCTCTTCATAACTTTGAGAGCCCGGCGGGTAAAAATCGTCGATCGCACCCTCACAGGCCCGTATAATGAGATCCCGAAATTCCGTAGAAATTTCCAATTACATTCACTTCCTTGCGTTGTTGCAATCCAATTTCTTATCCTCGATTTTCGTCGACAGTGTAACGAAGTTTCAATAATTTGACGATCTACTGTAAACAATTCTCCGATGCGTCGTAAAATTGAAACAGCGAGTTGCAACAGAGGTAATCGTTTCGTGCGAACGGATAAAAGACGTAAGGCATCCCCCATCGGGCTATTTTTATAACAAACTTTTTCAATTTCGAGCCCTGTCCGAGAGACACACGACTGACAATAAAGCACTCCGAAATTTTCCTGACGAATCTGCATTCTTTTGGTAATGGTCAGACGTGTCGATATCGCTCCGATAAATTCTGTCAAATCGACGATCTTATACCTGATATCGATTTAAGTTTCAATTGGTCACATATAGCAAATGTTGAAGTAGTATTTAAAAAAATTACTTGTAAGATACGAACAGATTTTAAACAAAATTTTTGTATTAAGCGTTTTTTCAGTTGTAGCATTTTAGCATATAAAGCTTCAAAGCTTTTTAAAATTCCATGTATAACCGTGAAGTCGTAAAAACTTTTGTCGACATCATCGGTTTCCTAATGGTAAAATATTAATTTTAACTTAGTCGCTAAAAAAAGTTTTAAAAAGCCGATGCTCGCGCTCGACTTCCATTAACGCGTGCATACATAAAAAGAATTCCGCAGGAATGCTCTCCTACATCGGGGACTAATCCGAAAATTTACAGCGCATAAATTCAATTCATAATTCAAAAATGTTCACCGTATATAGAGATTTTTAGTGCAACACGCGCGGGTCATTGTAGGCCGAAATATAAAGGATAAAATTATGAAAACTACAAATCAAAATGAATACAAACAGAGGCGATAAAGTATGGCAACATTAAAAGGGAAGCG